TAGTTGTCATGATTCCCAGCATCAGACAGTGGACTTGGTACATTCTCAAACGTTTCGCAGGCATCATCAGCGAGTTTTGCCATTCTCCGCACCAAGCTGCGAACTCGTCAAAGAGACAAATGAAACCAATCCATCGACAAACGTTTGTCGACCCCATTTGTCTCTTTGACGAGTTCGTAGCTTGGTGCGGAGAATGGAAAAACTCGCTGATGATGCCGGCGAAACGTTTTAGAATGTATCAAGTCCACTGTCAGATACTGGGAATCATGACAACTACTATGGCAGACGATTTCGGACTAGGCGCGTTCTACTAAGTCACACTAACGACAAGACCAAGTTGCGACAACGAGGTCAACCCACTTTTATAAATTGAAAGGAGACTGCCACTATACCAAAGTCCACAACATCTTGGTCTTTATATCTTCAATAAGATGTGAAGTTCAGCGGAGGCCTTCATACATAATTGTGGGAGAACGCATCTAGCAGTCCTTTATCACCTTAAACCAAATATGGTGAATACATCTCATATAGATTGACGCCTGGTTGTAAAAGTGTAAAGCAAAGCAGCCTGAGTCGAGCTCGTAACAATTCTGTTGGAAACATGAGGAAGTCATGATCGAATTATACGTTTGCAACTACTTTATTTTGTGTAATAAAGTAATCACAATGATAATTGATTCGATGCCTTAGAGATAGGAAAAAGCTGGGAAGTATGTACAGAATTCTTCGACTACCGTCGTGGTTTTAAATAAATAAAGGCATTTGCTAAAGGTGGAGATGATGTGTTTAATATGTGAAACATGAAGTTTGATATTCGAGTGGTGTTTTGTAGAACGCATTGTCTTCACCATAAGATAGCCATTATCTGGATCGATTTGATGAAGGTAGCGATAGCTCCCATGAAGTTGAGAAATTTAAAATCACCTGCCCAGTACCCATTCCAACTTTAACAATTCAGGGCTCATAAAATATCTAGGATCGACTCTCTTATATACCGTTTCGGGGCTAAATGGACATATTCGTCTAGTTCCTAAATTTGAATGCATGCAGTGATTGTCCAGGTCTACGCAAGGGATGGCACCTTTACCTATTCCATCTCATTCCTATGCAAATAAAAGTTGGGTTTCGAAGAAATTCTTGCTGCATAATTGTTGCCGTAGTCTTCTGGTCCGATCGACCTTCGAATCTCTTCACCAAACACTCCCATTCGAAGTGGAAGTAATCTCATTTATATCCGTAACTGGAATACAGCTTGCCAGAAACACATTGAACAGAATCAAATCAGACTCAGGGTGATCGCATTGGGTCAAAAAGGCATTTGAGGACAGGTTCCTTAATGAAGAGCAAGATTGTTCAGCCCCTGGTTTGATCGTATTCGGCCTTCGCGGCTCTGAGCTGGTTGTGTGATTTTGTCATAACTTTGAAACAATTTTGAATAGCATAACCTTCACTGTGTCCTCTGACACGGTTGCTATATTCTCTTCCAATATCGCAACCCCGATCAGACACATCCACAGACATTTTGCTAGCAGCGTAGTCGGCGTCTTCAATGGCCAGCTTCGTCCCCAGCAGTGAGTAACAAAGTGATCTCATCATTTTCAAAATTTGAGGAGCACATTTTTGCCTATAAGCTTGACAGCCAAATGAAATTGGCTTCGTTGATGGCCTCTTTAATCCAATTTCCGTGTAAAACCAGCTTAACACTTTATAAGAAGTGTAGCTATGTCGCTATTCAAGTGGTACATTTTCGTCATCTCCTCAACATTATCAACAACCACGAAGATTTAATGCTAAAAACAGTATTCGGAAGATTGTCTTAGACGACCTTGTCTCGGAATGTGCTAGTCTTTTCATGAGGCTATAATCTAGAATTCGACCGTCCTTGCCAAGGATTCTGAAACTGTAATCTAATCGTGCGCATTGAAAGCATTACAGGCTAAAGCTCTCATTGGCTTAGAGTGAAATTCATTCAAAAACATCTTGAGGAAGAGACTCTAGAATAATTTCATTCAGCGTCTTTTCTTCGTTAAAATGATTGAGGCTAACCTAAGGGCAATCACATGTTCTGAAAGTGCCAGAGTTTTTGTGCAGCGGGTGATAAGTTTGACGAGCAGTAAAGAGGCATATTTCACTTTTATTCCGTACACTTGTGTATTGTTAGGGCAATTCTCTGATCTTCCCTGAAGCTCTGAAGGCATTTTTGAAAAGTACTTTTCATCACCATTTCTAAGTTTTTGCTGTATGAACCTATTGATCATACTTGTTAGGCCAACTTGCCCCCGTATGTGTGTAAGAATCGAAAGAAACTCTAGCATCTTTATCCCTAGGCTACAATTAAAAAGATGCTCCCGAATTTTTCTCTGCAAATGCAGCTTGCTATATCTCACCAATTTTTGCTAGATTTATTTGCGTATCGAGTCAAGATCGCTAAAGATTTATCCCTCCTATACCCACACGACTATAATAAACTAATTAAAACGTGAGTTGTACACCCTGTTCATATTTTGCCGTGTTAATCCAGAGATTTGCGATAGTCAAAGAACACTATTATTAGGATTGAAAAGGCTTTTCCATTTGCCTATTTTTTATCAAATCCAGTATTAATTCAATAATGCAAGGCTGATAGTGTGCCTTTTCGCCTGATCGGTGCACTTTGGACAAGCATAACTGCACTTCGTCCACCTTTGCACTCCTATTCTGCAGAACGAGTATCCCCAGCTATCGTTTTAAAAAAGTTCTACTTAGACGGAGACTTTCAATTATTTCTGGCAGCCTTTTAACTTTGTTGAAAATATAGCATCCTTTGATTTCTATTGCCAGGCGCCCTTAGAAATTATCAGTTCTGTTGGAACTAACAATAGGCAGTTTGCTATGTAGTTACGACTCGGCTCCTCTGAATTTCAGACAGGGCTATTTTATAGAAGATCTGAATCTCAAAGGTCTCCATTCTACTAGAATGTAGCATCAGACAGAGGGAGCTATAAGGCCTTCTGCTGACAGGAAGACTTTTCAATTCAAGTACATCTTTTGGTAGTTTTAAGTCATGTTTCCTCCAGAGTTGCAGGTCAACGACAAGTCTAGGAAAAGAGGGATTCACCAAAGATATGATTAATGTATTTCCATTTTTAATTTAAATTTGCCTTTTCATTTATAATCAGGCAAATCATCATTATGCATGGTTAATTTTTTTCGATTTCCCTTCTAGTTTATTTGGCAATTTTCAGTACTCTCTATCCTGCCTTCTTTCGTCAGCCCGTCATTTTATGTCTTTATAGTCACACTTCATTTTGCTATGGCTCTTTTGATTGAGTAGTCTATCATTCTATATAATATAAGGGAATCATTTTACCTAAAATTTTCTCGTCTAGTTTGCAGATTCCAAGATTATTTCGTTATATATCCTTACTCAGCTCTATGGGATAGACTCTGTTTCAACGGGATTTGTAAACTGAAATATGCAACTATTTATTTTTTTAAATAAAATAAGAATATTCAATGACGTGCGATGCATGTTAAGGCTTTTCGTTAGCCAAAAAGAGCACTGGCATTTTAGATTTCACATGCTGAAATGTACAGAGATAATGTAGAATCAGTGATCTGATGCGTGCATTATAGCATTAAGAGAAAAGAGAGCAAATTAATATCCGCATCAGTATCCGAATCAAAAGTATACATTTTCTCTGCTTGGTCTAGAGTTTATTAGCCCATTGTATTCAGCCCCTATTGCAGGGAGTATGGAACGATACTCATGGCTGCAGATGACCACGGAATCCGGTCGCCATGGGAAGCTTACAGATAATTTTGGTTTTTTCAACTTCTCCATCTAACGTCCACATCTCACTATGCTCTAAGGTACTGATAGACATAGAACAGTAGGTTCGACTATAAATCTACCATCATGTGCTACAATGGCCGTCATCAATGGAGGATTTGAGGCACCTAACCAGTTTCTTTATTACTCAGTTGTCTTTCCATTAAACTCTTAAGACCCGCCGTTTTTATGCATGAAAATGAATTTAGGAGAATATTCGATTATGAATAAGATATATATTCATCCTTGGTCACATAAAATGATGAAAGACCGATACTGGCAGTATCCCATAAGTAAGTGTGCGGGCGCATTCTCATCCAGGATGGACCACCGTTTCGATTTCGGCTAGGTCTCATCAGCATCTCCAGCGGAATTTGAACTCGAGTAATGTTGCCTATAGTCTATACATGTTACCATTTTGGCCACATTGCCACGGGTTACGATGGGTTACAAGGCTGATTAGAATTTCAAGGATGTCCGGA